GGAGAGGAGTGGGGAGGAGAGGAGAGAGAGGCTAGAGAAAGAGGGAGAGATAGTGATCTTCCATCTACTGGTTCATTCCCCAGATGGGTACAATAGCCAGTTCTGGGCCAGGCTGAAGCCAAGATCCAGGAACTCCATCTAGGTCTCCCACATGGGTGGCAGGGGCCTAAGCTCAAGGCATGAGTCATGTTCTGCCGCCTTCCCAGCAACAGGCAGCTGGATTGGAAGCAGAGCAGCTGAACCAGTGCTCTGATATGGGATGCCAGTGTTGCAAGGATTGGTTTAACTCAGTGTGCCACAGCATGGCCTCCAGATTCCTCTTTTCTGTAAGAACACAATCAGATTAGGGACTACCCTGAAGTACTACTGTTGAGTCTTTTGGGGGGGCAGTTCAACCCATAATAGTTGTATTTTTTAACAATATAATAAGCATTTTCACTAGTTACTATAAAATTGTCCCAGATGTAATGTTAATGATTATAAGAAGATTTATTGATTTATTTGAAAGGCAGAGTTACAGAGAGGCAGAGGCAGAAACAGAATCTTCCATCTGCTGGTTCAGTCCCCAGTTGGCCGCTATGGCTGGAGCTGGACCAATCCGAAGCCAGGAGCTTCTTCTGGGTCTCCCATGTGGGTGCAAGGGTGCAAGGTCTTGGGCTATCTTTCGGTGCTTTCCTGGGTGCATTAGCTGGGAGCTGGATTGGAAGTAGAACAGCCAGGACTTGAACCTGCCCTTTTTGGGGTGCTGGCACTGCAGGCAGCAGCTTTACCCGCTATGCCACAGCGCTGGCCCCTGATTATAAATATTTGAAGAAGAATATCCACATAATCAGTTCTCTGCAATTAAATGATTAATTTGTTTTTACTTTTGGAATACTGTAATTGCCATGAAAACCTTTATACACTGCCTTTTCTGTATTTTTTTAAGATTTTATTTATTTATTTGAGAGGTGGAGTTACAGTCAGTGAGAGGGAGAAACAGAGAGAAAGGTCTTCCTTCCAGTGATTCATTCCCCAAATGCCGCAACGGCTGGTGCTGCGCCAATATGAAGCCAGAAGCCAGGTGCTCCTTCCCCGTCTCCCATATGGGTGTAGGGGCCCAAGGACTTGGGCCATCTTCTACTGCTTTCCCAGGCCAAAGCAGAGAGCTGGATTGGTAGAAGAGAAGCTGGGACTACAACTCACACCCGTATGGGATGCCAGCGGCAAAGGCAGAGGATTAACCTAGTGCACCATGGTGCTGGCCCCTCTGTATTCTTATAATAGATACCTAGAAATGAAATTATCAAATCATTTTAAGATATTTGATAATTATGAGAAATCTTTGCAAATATAAAAGCTCAAAATTTTATAAGTGGTTTTTAGTTTTTCTTGGCTTATTAGTGGATTAATTGAAATTTCTCTGCGTGAATTTAAATAATTCACCTATTTAATTTTAATCTTAATAGTTTTTTTGTCAATTCACTTAAACTCTTTGCTCAGAAGTTTACTTTTTCTTTTATTTTCAGCCACTACTTTACCAATTTATTAGTTGCTCTTTAATTTTGCTTTTCATTTCTTTTTTTTCTTGAGATTGATTGATTTATCTGAAACACGGAGTTTACAAAGGGAGAGACAGGGATTTTTCATCCTTTGGTTAACTTTCTAAATGTCTGCAATGGCCAGGGCTGATGACACGAGTAAGTTTTTTCTGGATCTCCCGCATGGGTGCAGGGGCCCAAGGACTTGCATCGTTTTCAGTATTTCCCCAGGTACATAAACAGGGAACTGGTTCAAAGTGGAGCAGCTGGGACATGAACGAGTACCCATGTGGAATGTCAGCCTCATAGACAGCATCTTAACCCCCCATTCCACAAAACTAGCCCTGTAATTTTGGTCTTACTCTTATTTAGAATTATAGAATAAAAGTGTAGACATATTTGCTTATTTTTTCCTCTGTTTCTTCTGTTGTTTCAAAACTTGACTTGTCCTTCTCTTTCCAGTTTTGATAAGTATTTAATGCTACTTTGTTCTGTTGCTTCAGTTGAGCTTAAAAGTATTTAACTCTTGAATTTATTTGGAATATATTTTGCTGAATGGAGTGACTTAAGGAGCATTTTGTTATTGGATTGCTAGCTGGTAATTCATATTCTATCATTTAATCACTATCTTTTCCACTGAATGAAGATGTCTTATTTATTGAATTGGATTATTTGGGAAGGATCTGTATTACAGTGATACTTTATGAAAGATTTATAGTATATTTTAATATTTGAAAAGAATATCTCTAGTTTATCCATTTTCAGGATTTGTATAAAGGTACATCTGATCTTTCCTTCAAGTACTTGGTAATTTTTTTTAATGTTTCAGGTCTTCCTTTACATATTTTATAAATACTTTTTGCTTTTTTATGTAAATCAGAGAAGTATCTTCCTATTATTCCTTATGTATGTATTATATTAGTATGTGTTGTTTTTTGTTTTTGCTATTCACAATGAAATTTTAATTGTTTTTAATGCCTCATTTTAATATCTGAAGTACTGCTGATTTATGTTTATCTTATATGCTATTGTTTTACTAAACTTTAACAATTCTAACACTTTTAAGTAGATTTATTTGTATTTTCTGGGTGAACAATTAGATGAGGATGATAATTTCTTTACAATATTCATTTCTTTTAACTAATCACATGTTGCTCAGAGTATCTAAAATTGATACTACACTTGAGTTACAATGGAAGACTTCTTCTTAGTATCATTTTTAATTTACTGGTTATAATTCTGATGTTACACCTTTAAGTATTTTGTTTGATAGCTTGAAATGGATTTTTTTTAAGTTAGAAGAATTTTTGAATACTTTTATTATTGAATTTGGGTAAATTGTAATATTATTTTTGGGTTTTTGCCAGATATTTTTAGGCCAGGAATACCTGTTGAAATTATCACTTGCATTTAAAAAATTAATTTATTGGAGTTGGCGCTGTGGCATAGTAGGTAGGCTAAGCCTCTGCCTGCAGCAGAGCCCAGTATGGGCTCTGGTTCATGTTTTGGCTGCTCCTCTTCTAATCCAGCTCTCTGCTAATGAGCCTGGGAAAGCAGTGGAAGATGGCCCAAGTACTTGGGCCCCTGTACCCATGTAGGAAACCTTGAGGAATCTCTTGTCTCCTGGCTTCAGGTTGTCTCGGCTCCAGCCATTGTAGCCATTTGGGGAGTGAACCACCAGATGGGAGACGTTTCTGTCTGTCTCTCCCTCTCTGTGTCTGTAACTCTGTCTCTCAAAAAAGTAAAATATTTTTTAAAAAAGAAAAGTTTTGGGGCTGGGGAAGATGGCCCAAGTCCTTTGGCCCCTGCACCTGCGTTGGAGAAGTAGGGGAAGCTCCAGGCTCCTGGCTTCAGATCATCCCAGCTCTAGCCATTGCAACCATTTGGGGAGTGAACCAATTGATGGAAGACCTCTCTCTCTCTCTGCCTCTGAAACTCTGCCTTTCAAATAAATCTTTCAAAAAAGTTTAATTTATTATAATAATTATTTATTTAAAATTTGTTAATACTACTTTATATTTAATAAGTGCAGTAAAACATAGTTGTGGTAGCTTGTTCTTATAAAAGATTTAATGTTATTTTTGTTAGGTTTGATTTTAGAGGGGATTTTTTTCCTTGAAACTTCCTGTATATGGTGCTAGCATCCCAACAGCCAACCAAACTAAATGTAATCTCAAACTTAAAATGTCTTTTGGTGCTTAGAAAAATCAAAGAGTAGTGTGGTTTAGTAGTCAAAATTACAGGTGTTCCGGCACACCGGGTTCTAGTCCCGGTCGGGGCAACAGATTCTGTCCCGGTTGCCCCTCTTCCAGTCCAGCTCTCTGCTGTGGTCCAGGAGTGCAGTGGAGGATGGTCCAGGTCCTTGGGCCCTACACCCACATGAGAGACCAGGAGAAGCACCTGGCTCCTGGCTTCAGATCAGCACGGTGCGCCGGCCGCAGCGGCCATTGGAGGGTGAACCAACAGAAAAGGAAAGACCTTTCTCTCTGTCTCTCTGTCTGTCTGTCTCTCTCTCATACTGTCCACTCTGCCTGTCAAAAAAAAAAAAAAAAAAAAAACACTACAGGTGTTGATTTAGGCATCATTGCCATATAGAGATATTTAGTAGCAAGAATCTGACTAGCTCTGGCTGTCCTCAATTTAAGCAAAGTTTTGCAGCCAAGCTAAGATCAGGAATAGACAGTCTGGATCTGACAAATGATAAATATCTTTAAAATTTTAAATGTGTATTTTACTTTATTTGAAAGGCACAGAGACAGACCAACCTTTCTCTTATTAACACCTTAAATGTCTGCAGATGCCTGAGTTGGACCAGGCTGAAGCAAGGAGCCATAAACCCAATCCATGTCTCTCATGTGGTTGGCACGGACATAACTGCTTGAACTATCAACTAATACCCACCAGGAATCATATTAGCAGGAAACAGTAACCAGGAGCTGAGCTGGGACTTCAACCCAGGCACTCTGATGTGGGCACCCCAAGTGGCTTCTCAACAACTGTGCCAAATAACCCGTCTATAGGAAGAAGTTCTTTTTTTGTTTAAGATTTACTTATTTATTTTGAAAGAATTACAGAGGGAAAGGAAGAGACAAAGAGAGAGATCTTCCATCTGCTGGTTCACTCCCTAGATGGCCACAATGTCCAGTGCTGGACCAGGCCAAAGCCAAGAGCCACATGGTGACAAGGACCCGAGCACTTGGGCCATCTTCTGCTGCTTCCCGTATGCCATGAGCAGGGTGTTGGATCAGAAGTGGAGCAGCTCGGACTCAAACTAGTGCCCATATGGGATGCCAGTGTCTCAGGTGACAACTTTACCTGCTGTGCCACAACACTAGCCCCAGGAATAGTATTTTTTTATTTGATAATATACAAAAGTGATATATAATCAAATGAACAGTCTTAATATATATTATAGAAATAAGTTATTTAGTATTTTATGATTTTGGTAGATGAACTCATCTTTTGTTTTTACTTCTGCAGCAAAAACAAATTAGTTATTCACCAGGAATATGCAGCATAGAGCATCAGCAAGAGATAACTAAACTAAAGACTGACTTGGAAAAGAAAAGTATTTTCTATGAAGAAGAAATAACTAAGCGAGAAGGAATACATGCCAATGAAATAAAAAATCTGAAGAAAGAACTACATGATTCAGAAGGCCAACAACTTGCTCTCAATAAAGAAATTATGATTTTAAAAGACAAATTGGAAAAAACTAGGAGAGAAAGGTAAGAATCAAACTATTTACTCATTCAGTAAATATCTATTGGGTATGTATTATGCATTAACTAATGCAGATCCATAGGCAGTAATTATATCCCAGTCCTGAAGGAAGCCACAATCAAGACCGGTGAATAAAAAACGACAACCCATGATAGGAAAAGAAATAGGAGCACATGTAGGAGTGAAAGGGTAACATTTCATACATATAGGCTTTTTGAACACAGTTACTTCTAGGCTGAGACCTAAGAAACAAGAATGAAAAAGCTAGGGAAGTGTATCCAGCAGAAGTACCAGAATTTACTAAGATCTAAAGGCAAAAGGAATGTAGCACATTCCATAAATGAAATGTTGGAAACATAAATGGAAAGGTACAAGTAGTTAGAAATCAGGCCAGATGCCTTTCAAAGGAAATAAATACATTTTGTTTTGATCTCCACAATTTACTTATTAATTATCCTTTTGTTTGTTATTAATATAAACAGAACGGATTACATGTATTTCAGAGGTACAGATTTTTTTTTTAATTATTTTTTTATTTGAAAGGCAGAAACAGAAAAGGGAGGGAGGGAGGAAGAGAGAGAGAGAGATACCTTCCATCTGCTGGTTCACTCCCCAGATGGCCACATGGCTGGGGCTGGGCGAGGCTGAAGCCAGGAGCCTGGAACTTCATCCAGGTCTCCCACATGGGTGCAGAGGCCGAAGTACTTGGACCATTGTGCACTGCTTCCCCAGGCACATTAGCAAGGAACTGGATTGTAAATGAAACAGGCAAGACTTGAACTAGCATCTGTACAGGATACCAGTGCTGTAGGCATAGACTTAAACTTCTATGTCACATTGCTGGCCCCCAGAGGTACAATTTTTAGGACGATAGCCATATTTCCCTCCCTCCCTTACTCTGTACCTCAGTCTCCCTCCTTCCTTCCTTTCTTTTTCTTTAATTTTTGCAAAAACAATTTATGTCCACTCTGCAATGACAGGCTTAGTGCAGCATTAACTGTAATATGCAACAAGTAAAAAATAGAAAGACCACAGTTACACAGCGGTGTAACAATGGCTAAAAAGAATAATCAGAGCACAATATGTCCATTTCATTCCTATACCTTTTTTTGATATTCTGTATTAACAGCCACATATGAGAAGAAATATATGAAATTTACTTTGGGGGGACTGGCTTATTTCACTAACTGAAATGGTTTCCAGTTACATCCATTTTATTGCAAAAGACAGGATTTCATTCTTTTTATGGCTGAGAAGTATTCTGCAGTGTATGTATACCACATTTTCTTTATCCAGTCATCAGTTGATGGACATCTGGGTTGTTTCCATATCTTAGCTATTGTGAATTGAGCTGCAATAAACACTCTTTCATATGGTGATTTCATTTCCTTTAGATAAATTTCCAGGAATGGGATGAGGGGTCATATGGTAGATCTATTCACAGATTTCTGAGGAATCTTTACATTGTATTCCATAGTGGTTGTACAAGTTTACGTTCCTACCAACAGTATATTAAGGTACCTTTTCCCCACATCCTTGCCAGCATTTGTTATTTTTTGATTTTTGGATGATTGACATTCTAACTGGGGTGAAATGAAACCTCATTGTATATTTTATTTGCATTTCCCTTATCCCTAGTGATACAGAGCATTTTTTCATGTGTCTGTTGGCCATTTTTATTTCATCCTTTGATAAATGCCTGTTCATGACTTTTGCCTGTGTCTTAAGTGGATTATTAACGTTGTTGTTGAGTTTCTTGAAGTCTTTATGGGCCCTGGGTATTAATTCTTTATTACATGTATAGTTTGCAGATATTTTCTCCCATTTTGTTGGTTGCCTTTTCACTTTTCTTGGTGTTTTCATTGCTGTGTAGAAACTTCTTAGGTTGATGTAATGCCATTTGTCAATTTTAGCTTTTATTGTCTATACTTCTGAGGTCTTTTTCCAAGAAGTCTTTGCTTATGCCAGTGTTTTACAGAGTTTCCCCCAGGTAATTGGGTGGTATCACTTCATAGATTAATATCCTTAATCCACTGGGATATTATTTTTGTATTAGGTGTAAGTTAGGGGTCTTGTTTCATACTTCTGCATGCATAGATTCAACTTTCCCAACGTAATTTGTTGAAGAGACTGTCCTTTCTCCAGGGAGTGATTTTAGCTCATTTGACAAGGATTAGTTGGTTGTAGATGTGTTGGATGAATTTCCGGCACCGTGTGGGCTCAGCCTGGGGTTCACAGCCTCTGGGCTCTGTCTATGGAATAAAGCACTCGGCAAAGCAAAAAAAAAAAAAAGATCTTCAATCTTATGGTTCACTCTCCATATGGGTGCAGTTGCTAGGGCTAGGCCAGGCCAAAGCCAGAAACTTCTTCTGGTCACCCATGTGAGTGTCAGGGGCCCAAGCCCTTGGTCCATCTTGGACTTCTTCCCCAGACACATAAGCAGGGAGCTGGATCGCAGTTGGAGCAGCCATGTGGGATGGCAGTGTCACAGGCGGTGGCTTAACCTGATGTGCCACACCACCATGCCCCTGAATAGGTTTCTTCAGGTGATGGAGGTAGAAGCCAGATATTGATGTGATGGGGAGCAGTTAAAAGGATACAAAAGATATTTATCAGTGAATAGAAAGTCCAAGGAAGCAGGAAATGAACTGTGACACAGAGAATAGTGAGTTTATTATTTTTTATTATTATTATTGAGAGTGGAGAGTAGATTAATGGAAATAGGAAAAGGAAAGAATGGTTTCACATGAAGATTATACTCTGTGTACATATTTTTCTGGAAGGCTTCTTAACAGTTTGTTATTTGTTTTTGAAGTTACTATTGTATTGGAAAAGATTCCTTTCCATAACAATATAAATTTAGCATTTTTATGATGAATAATAAAGTAGCACATTTGCTTTGAAAGACAGTATAAATCATTTTCCTTGAATGTACAAATTATTTATCTTCAATAATTTAATGATGTGGAAAATTTTTATGGTTATGCTTTTAAGATCAGCCATTACTTTTTCACTTGAAAACAATCATATAAAATTACCCGGAGCTGAGCCATGTTGAAGTTCATTTGTTGCTGACATCCTTCATCAAATGGCTGTAGATATAAGCCTGTTTGTCTACATGTTAACATGGTTTTTGAAAACTGATTCTTTTTCTTCTTAGATTTTTAAAAAGTTCTGCCCCTGCCCCTGAACTTGTCATTTTAAATAACTTTTATAGTATTAAGTTTATTGTGTGTATGTGTATAGACATGGGATGGAAGGTAGTGGTGAGAGTATTAAAAGAACTGTTAGAAATTTATTTGTGAATTTTCCTTATAGTCCAGTGCTGAGAAAAGGAATTCTAATGTGGTTCATTTATTTTTCTCTCTCCCTAGCTTCCTCTTTCCTCTATACTTCTTAGTATAAATGTAATTAAATAAGGTGAGCATAATAAGGAAATTTGTAAATAAGAGGTGTTTTCCCCAGATTTTCAAATGAAGACATGCCATTAAGCAAACTAATCTATTAATTAAGTCACTGTGTGTAACTTTAATTTATTATTTTTTTTTGTAAAGTAGAGGATTGGGATTTGAAACATTTAAGCTCTTCTGTAACAAAGCAGATGGTAGATCAGCCAGCGTGGAATACCATTATTTTTTATAAAATCGGGGAGTATACTTCCTTGTGGCATTTTAAGCTGTCACCTCTGCAGAGAACACCTACCACAGTGCTTTTCCAAGATGCTAATAATCTCTCTCATTGTACCTGTTAATGCCATGGTGTCAGGAATATTCTCTGGGTATTTTGCATTGTATGCTTAGGGGGTGGCTGAGCAGATTGCCTGTGATACTTAGGGATCCCCTCGTAACAGTCTGATCTCACCAGACTAGTAGACCCTTCATTACATGCCAGGTAAGCTTGTTGATTATAGCCCACTATTGAGTCCAAGCTTTAATTAGCCCCCAGCATTGAAAATCTATATCAGAGTATTTAGTCCACGAATTAAAGCACAAATTGCAAATATATATGTCCAGTTGATAAATTTAGCTATATTTAAATTTTTCTTTTATCTTCCTTGGCCTGGCACTCTTAGAATTCATTCCTATATGCTGCTTCTACTTTTTCCATTATGAATTGGCAAAATACTTTAACTGCTCATTGTAAGTCCCCTTCTTCATTTCTGTATCTGGCCTGTGCTGTGATCTTATCTATATCATGGGTCTGAAGACAAGGCATGTGGTAGAATAGTTGTTACAGATGACTGGCACCCTCCTTTTGTGGTAGTAAACAGTGTTAAAGATAATTGTCATCTCCCCTTTGCAATAACTGTGCCAGGTGAAGCTAATGAACTATTTATGCAAAGAAAGTCTGGCTGTGGAGAAAGAATAAAGCTGCTTCTACCTGCATGGAAGGTTCCAGGGAGATAGGAGAGTTCAGAGTTGTTAGTATTATCTTTTGCTGCCCAGAGGTTCCCATCTGTTGTCTGTGGCTCCACTGTACCCTTAGCTTAGCCTAAGAGGTTTAGCCAATGTTGTGCTATTCAACATTTATACCGTCTAATGGGATGTACTGCAAAGAGCATGGCACTATCATTCCTGTGACATTCTAGCCAAGAATTAATTTTTATATCAAACCCAGGTGGAATATTACCCCTACACAACAAAAATCCTATACCTTTTTTTTTTTTTTAGTTTTATGTGGATTATTTCTTTTTTGTTTTGTTTTGTTTTGTTTTTTTCTTTTTCTTTTTTTTAACTTTTATTTAATGAATATAAATTTCCAAAGTACGACTTATGGATTACAATGGCTTCCCCCCCATACCGTCCTTCCCACCCACAACCCTCCCCTTTCCCACTCCCTCTCCCCTTCCATTCACATCAACATTCATTTTCGATTATCTTAATATACAGAAGATCAGCTTAGTATACATTAAGTATGGATTTCAACAGTTTGCTCCCACACAGAAACATAAAGTGAAAAATAATAGATGATTTTTTTTAAATGATGATGAAATCAGATCAGACCTATTGTCATGTTTAATCCCAGTGAGAGTCAAGTTGGGAATTGATAATTTCTTTTTTTTTTTTTTTTTTTACAGAGGATCAGTTTAGTATGCATTAAGTAAGGATTTCAACAGTTTGCACCCCCATAGAAACACAAAGTGAAATATATTGTTTGAGTACTCGTTATAGCATTAAATCTCAATGTACAGCACATTAAGGATAGAGATCCTACATGAGGAGTAAGTGCACAGTGACTCCTGTTGTTGACTTTACCAATTGACACTCCTGTCTATGGCATCAGTAGTCTCCCTATGCTCCAGTCATGAGTTTCCAAAGCTATGGAAGCCCTCTGAGTTCTCCGACTCTTATCTTGTTTAGACAAGGTCATAGTCAAAGTGGAGGTTCTCTCCTCCCTTCAGAGAAAGGTACCTCCTTCTTTGAGGACCTGTTCTTTCCACTGGGATCTCACTCACAGAGATCTTTTGCCAGAGTGTCTTGGCTTTCCATGCCTGAAATACTCTCATGGGCTTTTCAGCCAGATCCGAATGCCTTTAGGGCTGATTCTGAGGCCAGAGTGCTATTTAGGACATCTGCCATTCTATGAGTCTGCTGAGTATCTCACTTCCCATGTTGGATCACTCTCCCCTTTATTTACTCCATCGGTTAGCGTTAGCAGGTACTAGACTTGTCTATGTGCTCCCTTTGATTCCCAGTCCCTCCACCATGACCAACTGTGAACTGAAATTGATCACCTGGAACAGTGAGATGGCATTGGTACATGCCACCTTGATGGGATTGAATTGGAATCCCCTGGTATGCTTCCAACTCCACCACTTGGGGCAAGTCAGCCTGAGCATGTCCCAAATTATACATCTCTTCCCTCTCCCATTCCCACTCCCATGTTCAACAGGGATCACATTTCAGTTAATTTTCAACACTTAAGAATAACTGTGCATCAATTACAGAACTAAACCAGTCATATTAAGTAGAACAGATAAAAAAACTACTAAGAGGGATAATGTATTAAGTTGTTCATTAACAGTCAGGGCTATGCTGATCAAGCCACCGTTTCCCATAGTGTCCACCTCACTCCAACAGGTTTCCCTCTTGGTGTTCAGTCAGTTGTCACCGATCAGGGAGAACATATGGTATTTGTCCCTTTGGGACTGGCCTACTTCACTCAGCATGATGTGTTCCAGATTCCTCCATTTTGTTGCAAATGACTGGATTTCGTTGTTTCTTACTGCGGTATAGTATTCTAAAGAGTACATATCCCATAATTTCTTTATCCAGTCTATCGTTGATGGGCATTTAGGTAGGATCTCTATCCTTAATGTGCTGTACATTGAGATTTAATGCTATAACGAGTACTCAAACAATATATTTCACTTTGTGTTTCTATGGGGGTGCAAACTGTTGAAATCCTTACTTAATGCATACTAAACTGATCCTCTG